AATCCATACAAGGCTTTATTTAGCCTGCACACTAAATTTTGACCATTGGCAAGCTTAAACCCTAGTGGCATAGTCATATACACCTCTTCCTCCAAGTCACCATGAAGGAAAGCATTCTTTACATCCAGCTGATGTAAGGGCCAACTCAAATTAGCTGCCAAAGAAAGAAAAACACGTATAGAGTTCATCTTGGCAAATGGAGCAAATGTTTCCAAATAATCAATTCCATATGTTTGAGTGAAGCTTTTTGCAACTAACTGAGCTTTATATCTCTCAATTGTTCCGTCTCTATGATACTTTATTGTGTAGACCCATTTGTAGCCTGCTGGTTTCTTACCTTAGGTAATGGAACAATATACTAAGTACCATTCTTCTCAAGGGCCTTCATTTCTTCAAGCATATCTTTCTTCTATGGAGTTCGACTGAGAGCATCTGAAACACTAGAAGGAACAGATACAGAGGAGATACACGAAGTGAAAGCACGATATGTTGGAGATAAGGTATCATAGGATACAAACTGAGATATGGGATGTTTTGTACAACTACGAACACCCTTACGATAGGCAATAGGGACATCAAGATCAATAGGAATGCTATTGGGAAAAGAATCAGGAGTATCAATGTCAACTAAGGAATTACCTGGATCGAGGGAGACTTCTTGGTCCTGAGGTGAGTCAATAATTTGTTTTGCCCTCCCAGTGTAGACAATTGGCTGCTTTCCCTATTGTAAATCATTAGTGTAAGAAGGACTAGACATAGACACCTCGGCTCCCCTGAATGGGAACAGGCAAAGGAAGGGGGCATTCCCTCTGAATGGACAACGTATTCTCTATCTGTATGGTAGAAAATCCTGAGCAGTGGGAAAAAAAGGAACAGACTCAAAGAATGTAACGTCGATGGAGTCAAAGTGATGACAAGTGGTAAGGTTATAACACCGATACCCTTTCTGAGTGGCGGAGTATCCAAGAAAGACACATCGGATTGCCTTAGGGTCCATTTTGTCCTTGCAATGATGAATGTGAACATAACATACACAACCAAACACTTTCGGAGGGACAATAAACAAGACTGTGTCATGGTGTAAGATAGAGAAGGGGGATTGATAGTCAAGAACCTTAGAAGGCATGTAATTATAGGCACTCATCCCAATTAGAAGAGAACGGGTCACCTTCGTAATATAACGGTGTTTTCTTTTAGCTACACCTTTCTGTTGTAGTGTATTGACACAAGAGGTTTGATGGACAATCCCGTTGTTAGCAAAAAAGGAGGCAAGACCATACATAAACTCTCCTCCATTATCAGATCGAATGATTTTGAGGGGACAACCAAACTGAGTGCATACCATCCTATGAAAGGTTTTAAAAATGGAATGAACTTCATCTTTGGTTTTCATAAGATAAAGCCAAGTGTATCGACTAAAGTCATCAACAAACACAACAAAGTAACGAAAACCAAGTAAAGAATTAGTAGATTTAGGACCCTATGCATCAGAATGAACAAGCTACAAAGGAGTTGTACAAAGGAGTTGTACTTTTATTAATACTAGTAGGATAAGAAACACGACATTGTTTGGCAATAACGTATGTTTCACAATTTAACTCAAAAGATTCAACAGAAGCAAATTGGGGAAGCACATGCTTCAAAACAAGAAGAGGTAAATGACCTAGTCTATTATGCCATCCCATTAACAGATCTTTATTGACTTCACTCTTCTTAACACTAGATTGATTTGCAACATAATAAGAAGTTGGCCTCGCGTTCAACAAATGCAAGCCATTGTCCTCACGTCCACTACCAATCGTATTCCCCGTGTCCAAGTCCTGAAACATATAGTGAGATGGGAAAAAAGGTTACACTACACAATTCAAGCCTTTTGTAATGTGACTGACAAAAAAGGGGGTTATTGGTAAACTTTGGGACATAAAGAACAGAGGACAAGGTAAGATTAGGAGAGGCAGAAACAGTGCCCTTCCCCACAATGGAGGTGAAGGTGCTACCAGTCACTCTATCCTTATCCTTACCAGAATATGAACTGTACGAAGAAAAATCAGAGGCCATACCAGTGATGTAATTAGTGGCTTCTGAATCAATGATCTAGGGTGGCCCACTAGATAATGTGGAACTTGATGTGTCGAATGAGAGGTACTTGTCTGGGCAAAGTTAGAGGTGGAAATGGAGGAATGTTGTGCTAGTAGATGTCGGAGAGCATCAAGTTCAGCCCCGGAGAAAGAACTCGGTGGCCCTGAGGAGGCATGACCAGTACAAGCAGTCTCACGCTCTACAGTATGTGCCGTAAATAACCCCCTAAATGGACTAGGCCTTGGCCTAACATGAGCAGGAGTTGGAGTAGGGCGATTCTGTAGATTCCAGCATGTTTCCCTAGTGTGGCGTGTACGCCCACAATGATCACACCTCAACTTGCTTTTGTCATCCTGCTTCCCTCCTTTGTGGAGGATTGGGCTTGTTCCATTGTTGTGTGGCAAGAGCAAACCTCTCAGATAATGGTACTTCTAGCTCAGGCTTAGTGTATACAGGTGTAGACATAGCCTTCATGCTATTCTCCTCAGCCTGGATATACGAAAACACATCTCTAACAGAAGTAGGGGCTGGATACCTGCCTAACACTTGTACCTTGGCATGCTCGTATCTCGGATGCAGACCACCTAAGAACTCATAGATTCGATTTCTTTTTACCATAGCATGAAATGCTTTAACATCAGCTGCACACACAGGTATGCAATCTTGGTAGTGATCTAACTCTTCTCATTTACCACGTAGAGTGTGGTAATATGGAACAAGCGTTTGGCCTTCCTGCTTGAATCTTGAAATCTGTTGTTGGAGTTCATACAGTTTTGCGAAATTACCAACCGAGGAATACATCTCTTCCACAGCCGTCCATAGCTCTTTAGCTGTTTTCACAAGCAGAAACCCTTTGCTGATCTGTGGCTACATTGACTGCAACAACCACATCATAATTAGTGCATTATTTGCACTCCACTCTTTGAATTCAGGATCGCTTTTGGAAGGATACGTGATTGTCCCTTCGATATGGTCAATCATCCTACGACCAGTGATATGCATACGAGCAAATTGAGCCCACTCAATACAGTTCGTCTCATCCAGCCTAACAGTTGTAATACAAAGGCGTGGATGGTGGTCACTACTACCTCCCAATACTGGAGGAGTCAAACTAGGAGAAGACCCAGCTTCTTTTGAAGTCACCTTTGAGCCAGACATTTTATCATACAGTTTGTGGGTATACAATCCTCAGAAACAAAAGCAGCAACAAAATACGTAGAGAACCTCCTCTCTAACACACAAACTTCAACTAGAAAGATTACCGTCTTCTGAGATGCATAAAAAAGCGACCACACAGTCACCACACAAACCCTAGAAAGCAACAAAGTAGACTATACCAGAATCACAAACGATGAAGAAAAAACCGTTGTTGTAGAACCCCGCGAACACAAAAAGAAAACACTAATCGAGATTGCAATAGATAAAAAATAGGTCAACAAATTCTTTTCGGGGCCTCGCCTCGAACCCCGAGCAGGGGCGCGTTGTCCCCTGCATCCCCCCAGCTAACTCACTGCAGAGTTGGATCCGCGGTACGCGTGGATGCGATTAACACTACTTCCTTGCAAACAAATCCCATCTTGGAATCTCTTCAAACCCCTTCTCACCCCACTAGGGTTTACACAAACTTGTCATGGGGTTTCAACTACACGCCTAGAGCTTTACAAACCATGCTCTGATACCATGTTGACTTTAAGATATAATCAAATTAAGAGTAAGTGATAAAGAAGAAGAAAAATAGAAGAAAGCGAATGAGAGAAAAAGAGAGAGAGATAAGGAAAGAGAGAAAGAATGAGAGAATACTTTCATCCTTCCACTACAATCTATTTATAATAACAAGTTTCAGAAATTGCACAAATGGCCCAACATTATATAAGTAATAACAAATATGCCCTTGACAACACTTATTTCCCTTTATGAAGTACATAAGGCTAAATATTTGAACAGATACAAGCAGATATTTAACAACACTCTTTCAAGGTTCACAATTATGAGTGACTTGCATTGCATATTTAACTGATGAATTTAAACTAGGAAGTAAATATACAATTTCTTGTAAAAAGCAACTGGTAGAGAAAATCATACCTGACAAGGAATGAACCGCTTGGATCCGAAGTTATGCTGATAATAGTAGTTTGTTTAATTTTTTTGATAACTTAGATTTAAAATACATAGCCAAAATTTGTAATTGGTATACCCCACTAAGTACAAAACTGTACAACAAATAAGAAACCGAACCTAGTAAGCCTTTTTCCTAACTACTTGAGGTTGGTTACATGAATTCTATGTTTTCATTATGCTCAATTTAAGGCCATAGCCTCACTTAGTTTACATGTCATATCCTTCTTTACTAACACTACCAAGTTAACTCTGGGAGAAATTGGGAGAACCTAATAATATTCACATTTAAGGGCGGCCACTGTATAGCATTTTAATGATTATGCAAAAACTTTTCCAATAAAAAATTGGAAATTTGGCAGGTTGGCAGTAGAAATAGTTTTCACATGCCAAAACTTCTAATACTTACCCGGTTTCATATACTGCTTCCACCATTGGTCTATACTGAACTGAGCAGTTCTGATATCAGGCTGACACAGGATCAATTAATGTTTGAAGAAGCTGGAATGGTGATCAGCTTATGCTTTTAGATTAATTCTGTTTCCTGATGTGACTATGACTAAGAAGAATACGTTGTTTGATTGATTTGGCCTTCTCTTGCGTGTTTGTGGGTATAAGTTGTACATGCTAGTGCTTTATGGTATATTCATCACCTCCTCTATGCAATATGGTGTATGCTCGAAACATTTTTGTGACATTTTACTTGTCCCTCTTAACATTTTATTAACCTGAATACTTAAAGTAAATTGATAAAATTTGCTTGCCGCTGCTATTTAATCTGCTTGTTGGTTTTACTTCTTGATCAGGTGTTTTCCTTGGAGTATCTTCCAACACTCGTTATCAAATAATTAATGGATTAGAATGCCTAGTTGAAGCATCTCCCTTGGCGAAGCAGGTCCCGCCTGTTGCAATGGCTTTTACAGTGGGTGTGCGGTTTGCCAACAATATCTATGGTGGAATGCAGTTTGTAGATTGGGCTAAATGGAGTGGCGTGCAGTAGCTGCAAGTCATTTCCAAGAGATTTTGGTCTTCAGTTATCAGATGGCAGATTAGTATAGATAGTTACTTTTAGCATCAGCTTGCAATTCACTACTCTCTTATAGTTAGGGTTTGCTACATGACAAGCACAAAAGCTTGGATGTGCTTATTGCAGTCGAGTTTTAAATAAAGCTTGCATCATGTTAAGAGAGCATTGTTATATTGTTGATGGATTTGTTAAAACTGCTAATAGCGCTTTCATTCAATTAGATTATTATATTTCTCGTATTATGAATTATATATCTAAGCTGATTTGTGTAGTTAGCATTGTTCGTAGTCGCGGTGTAACGGATTCGGGTGAATATTGGTGTAAACCGGCCGAATGGGTTGGTTTATAAAGGTATGTAATGGTATCGGACCTTTGAAAAGTAGTTATGAACCCAACCGATACGGCGAACCATGGTTGATATTTAGTGATTAGGACACATCCTATTGGTTTGAACTTTGGACCAGCTAACAGGGAACCAAAGCAGGTAACATCTTTTATTTTTATTTTTTAATTTCTTTCCTCTTAATTTTGAGCGATCAGAATTTAAATTTTTTATTTTTTATTCAAATTGAGATGTTATCATTTGATTTTCATGCTCAAAAGTCAAAACGTGATAATTTGAATAGCTCAGTAAAGACCTTAAGGTACTAATGACACAAAACTAGCTATAAACTTGTCACATGCTTATTGCTTAACAAAATGGAAGGTTGGTTTGTGAGGGGAAAAAAAAAAAAATAAAAAAAAAAATGTATGGATACATCATTGCGTCAAGTTATTCTGGGTGTTTCAACTTTGTACCAGGGTACGAATGTTAGAAGTCGGTTAATTGCAATGAAGTAATAAGTATGTTTTTAAATACCTATTTATATACAATTACTAACAACTTTCTCGTAGTTTTAGTAAAACAATGACCAACTATTATTCTTGATTTGAAAAAAAAAGGAAAAAAAAAGAAAAGAAAAAAGAGACTACCTATTGTAAAAACAAAGTTCAAGTTTGTATGGTTAAGTAAAGTATTCATGTCAGATATGGATTCGACACAAAGACACGCTAAAAAATATGTTAGAAGATTTTAAATTTTTTTGAAATATTCGGACACGCTATAGATACGTGTGTCAGTACGTGTCCGACACACGTGTCCCATTTTTGATGATTTTTAAGAAAATTTTATAAACAAGTTAGATGTATAAATATTAGGAGTTGTTTAATAACTTTAAGCAATATGATGGTACTTACATAATAACTTAAAAAGTTGTTTTATAAAATAATTTTATATTAAAACAACTAAATATTTATCCTTATATTTTAGTTCTAAGGTTTTGAACACTTGCACGATCTTCTTTGACTCTTTGTTCTTCTTACAACCAAGTTTTGCTATCGGTGAATGATTTCTCTCTATCTCTCTCCTCTTTTCTTTCTTCTTCTTTCTCCTCTTTTCTTTCTCTTGTAATTCACAAATCCTAGGTACTTTTTAAACATTCACAATAAATTTCTTTTTCCATTTCTTTTTCCTTTTCCTTTATTCCCGACAAACTTTTTTCTTTTTTATGGATATTTTTAACCAAGGCCTAATTTTTTTTCTAACAAAACCCTAATCCTCTTTTTTCTTTAATTTTTTTTTTTTTTTTTTTATTCCTCTCTTAACCCTCTTTCTATCATTCTTTCTTTTTCCCAGCAAAACACAATTTTTTTTTCATTATGAGGTGGTAAAAACGAATATTACACTTAATTTCTTAAGATACAACATTATATATATATATATATATATATATATATATATATATATTTATTTATTATTTGTCGTGTACCCCGTCGTACCCGTGTCCTAATTTTTTAAAATTTGTCATGTCGCCGTATCCGTATTCCGTATCTGTTTCCATGCTTCTTAGGTTACATCTGACATTCAACAATGAGAGCGTCACCACATAGAGAAAGAGAGAGAGAGAGAGAGAGAGAGAGAGAGAGAGGACAACAAAAGAGGTTAGTGTTAGGTTTATAGGACTAAGTTGAAAGAAAGTTGTCAACTTAAAACTCTCGAACGTAAAATATTTTTTTCAAAATTTTCGGTGTTTAACAAAAGTTTAGGTCGAATCTATCGAGTAGGCGCGTGTATAATAATTTATCAAAAATTAATGAATAAATTACTTTTTATTAAGTTCTAATATATATATTTTTGGTAAAAATTTTATGATAATCAAACACCAAAAACTAAAAATAAATTTTAGATCTAGATAAAGGGACCTTAGTGTTTAGTGAAAAGTTAACCCAAGATGAACATCAATAAAGGTTAGATCCAAAGAAAAGAAAGAGATAATATATATATATATATATATATATATATATATATATATATATATATATATAAGTGTTATATAAGTGGGATCCACATACAAAGACTTAAAGGTAAGCCTTGGCGTGGGGAGAAAGGCTACATTATATATATATATATATATATATATATATATATATATGTATATATATAAGTGTTATATAAGTGGGATCCACATACAAAGACTTAAAGGTAAGCCTTGGCGTGGGGAGAAAGGCTACATTAGTAGCTTATGTTCAAAGCCTCTTTTGTGCCTATATATATATATCCATGTTTCTATTGCTCTGGAATAATCAATGAAAAGTTGTTTTACTTTCTCTCTCTTATATTACCAAATGAAAGTTCTTTTATTTTCTCTCCTAATATTACTCTATAGATACACACACACACACACACACACACACACACACACACACACACACATATATATATATAGAAGACGTTATCAACACGAGCTTTAATCATCTGAGACTTGAACAAGAAGCTCTCTCTCTTTCTTTTTATCTCAACTCTATATATCACTTTTGTGATATTAGTTTTGATAGATTGTTGGGTTTGTTTGCTTTACTGAAGAAAATTGTATTTCTGACTCCAAAGGGAAAGAAAATCTTAATTATTGATTATTGTTCATGAATTAATTTGTCCACTTAAATGATATATGTGCTCACACTATGGTCGGTTCTACCGCCTTTATTATTTAATAATTTACTAACTATGGCCGGTTCTACTGCCTTTATTATTTAATGATCTACTAACTATGGTCAGTTCTACTGCCTTTATTATTTAATGATTTACTAACTTTGGTCGGTTCTATGATGGGTCTCGTCGACTATCAATAATAGTCAACCCTTTGCAATAGCATAAATCATTGTAAAATAAGGCTATTGGACGGGTAAGTCGAACTACTAGGACTGCTGGTTTATAGCAACCAAGGTCTTTAAATTCACTTTTAGTTTGATAAAAGAGGGATAGAGTTTTGATTGGTCTGTCACTTAGTAACTAGAATTGGCAATTGTGTAAAACAATATTTTATAAGAGATTTAGAGGAAAGGAATCTAGGTAGAGAGGACTAGGGAAGTAAATCTACTACCTACCCTATAAACATGCTAGAAAATGCTTTACATGGGAGAACAACATATATATATGATCATGGAATGCAATAACACAAAATTGCTACATTACCTTCAAGAAATTCATGAAATCAATAGGTAAGAATAACCTATCAAAGTTTTACATGCTTTGACTACCTAAACTAGGATGTAGCCTTAGACATGCTCACTAAGGTAGAGATTATCAAGCCCTTAATTAAATGATAAAAGTACATGAAGTTAGAAATCAAGAATAATTTATCAAAGGAAGGCCCTAAGCTATAGACTATCAAACTTCCTAAACCTCATGCCTTTCAAACCATTCCACAACCTCATTTCCATTGTCACTATGAAAAAGCAAGCCATATAATCATGAGAAATTATAATCTAAGACAAGACCATAGCTTCAACATAATCATTTATAAAGGTTAAGATTCATTACATCAAAATGAATGCTCTAGACTGTGAAATAATCATAAATATACATCATTCCCCCAAAATAAACCAATAACTAGAGCATGCTTATAAAGTAGGGCTTCATCACTTCCCTAGAAAGGGAGTTAGTTACCCATGGATGCAAAGGAGGAAGGAGAATGAGTGATCTTCAACTCCATTTTTGCACCTAGATCTCCAAGACACATAAACCCTCTAACCTTACAATATTTCTCTCTCTAAAACTTGCCAATATGTGAGATCCCCTTTACTTACAACCATACATGCCTTATATATGCCACCATAGACCACTAACCACTCCAATTTCGTGGTCCATAATCCCTAGGAGAATGCAGCACCACACAAAATGGGTCAAGGGGACAGCCTTGAAGGAAACAATGCAGACCATGTCCACTTGTCTGCGAAGTGGCGGGCGCCCGTGAAAGCTCGAATTTATTCAAAAATACAACTTTTGCTCTGAAATTCTTGCTTTTGAACCCTCTTTGCGCGGACTGATGGTGAAATTCTTCTTCCTAAAATATTGTGCAAAGAGTGTCATGGATTCCATGGATCACTTGACTTGGCCAAATGACAGTCCTTGGCAACGGCGTACTTTGATCTTCAAAAACTTATTAAAGCATCACTTTTAACTTCCTTTGGGGAACCAACCTGAAAATAGACAAAAACATGCAAATAAAACTAATATATGCAGTATAACTAACTAATGGACTTAACTAATGCAAATAAGGGGGATTGAATATGCAATAGTCAGCGTTTATCACAATCCCAAACTTACATTTTGCTAGTCCCATAGCAAAATAAAAAACGAAACTCTTGACAAAATGACAACATTTGAAATGCTGTTAACATGCATTTATCATGGTGCAAGAAAATACACACACACAGCTCATTAGCAACTTGGAACAGGCAGAATATTGGAGACGGAATTATTTTGCAGACTACCTTGCGTATATGAAGCCTCAAATACAAAATGGCTAAACATATTTCAAATCTCATGCATTAACATTATAGTCTATATAAATACTTCAATTGTCATCTCTTTAATAGAAATCAACTCTAACTTCAATGAAAGTGACTTGGATTCCCAATATGTGGCTTTTACTTTCTTTTTCCAATTTCAAGACACAAGCTTCAAATCATTGAATTTTTCTTTTGAATGAGGTCTCTAAGTCATGAATTTATTCAAAATACAACTCTTTTCTTTTTTTATTTATTTTTTATGGTACATATTATGGTCGTGCAATGCCAAAGTCCCTTAAGCTTTCTAACCAACCCATGTAACAAGTGTTAGGCCAGCAACTCCCAAACCGGATGGCTTTAAGGTGCTAAGTGTAAGGACACTCCTAGAGCTTAATAACTCGAGTTGGCA